GGGGAGGGGAGGGGGAGGAGGAGGCATCCCCGTACGTTGTTAGACTATTTGTTTGTTGTTCATTGAACAGCGATGTACCCAACTGTGTGTCCCTTACCGCAATTTTCTTTCTCTATAGTCATTGTAAATTTATAAACGTTTTGCTCCTGTACGCTTTTCCTGTAAATAAACGTGTAATTTTCCAGTACCCTTAAATTATAGGTTGGTCTTCAAAACATGTACTGTGTTCTCTGTGGTGCTTGCCAAAACAAAGGAACATTACATTAGAATTAGAGTGGTGCTGTTGTGTGATTTTGAGAAAACGAAGCTTCGTCAGCGTGAGGTTATTATTCGTGCTATTCGAATAATTTGTACGTATGGATCTTTTCTTAGGTATATAGTTTGTTTTAAAATGGTGAAATGGTATAGGTTTATCGCCCCTATCAACTCTGTTAGGTTATTTAGGAGGCGGGACCTCCGAGTTTAACGACCATCTTCAAAAGGATCGAGCCAAGTGGGAAATTCGTGTAAAGTGACATCCCCAAGAACACAATAACATCGGACCGAGCAGAGGCCCCAACACCCGAACCCGTAGTCTTTTACGAGTCCGGTACAATCTCTACCTTTGCACGTATTGAAAACAGCTTAAAACAAATTGTTATTTTAGGCCACAGTCCATCAGCAACATTCGCCGTTCTTTATCAGTCAGCTTATCACTCTGTCTCATTATCATTGAATACAAGCTCTTTTAATATTTACTTTAATGATTTTAGATACTGGTCTAATAAAAGCTCTGATTTTTTTAGGAGTTAAGAAAATACAATGAGACGAAAATCCTGTATCCGTTAAAATCACATGGTATTCGCATTCGTTGATTCTTCGAAGAGTTGAGAACAAAAATGAGACGAAAATCCATTACCCATAAAAATCGCATAGATCTAATGACTTTCGCATGACTCTGCTACACTTCGAAGAGTTACGAGGGTGAGTCAGACAGAGAGAAAAATCATGAATATTAAACAGTAGGCCTAAAATCGAAAAGGTAGAGCTATAAGAGAGTAAACTGAGACACGTGTCTTCTCCACCATCACCAGGCCTGAGTCGAAGGACGTTATTTATTACACGACAGTTTGTTGTCAGGGTCCTTGCCCGTCTTTGAAGGTCAAGGTCATGGACAAGGCCACGGACAAGTGATTTGAATTTTGCCTGGGTAGCGGCCGAAGCCTACTCTTATCGATTTTAGACCACCAAGGGATTTTTAACGTTAGCGCAACCGGGACCTCCGAGATTTTTCGCCCTTGTTCGAGAAGGCTGGCGTGAGATCAGGGGTGTGGCTGAAAGACAGCAGTAAGAAGGAACCGAGAAGTAGCAATAGAAAGGCTGCAGAAAGAGTCAGGAGCCCAGAGGAAAGGGTTGGGGGGGGGGGGGGGGGGCAGAAAGTGGAGACGAAAGCAGACGAGAGAACAAAATATATGATTTATTGTGGGTGTTTTGCACTCCTCACTCCTGCCCAAATCGACGCTATTTAGAGGCAGGCTGCTTAAAATTAGCACAAGAGAGTGACAAACATACAAAAAAAGCAGAGGAAAAAAATGACGATAGTAAGGATGAGGAAAAGGCTGCAGTTCCGCCTGGAAAAAGCTGCAGTTCCGCCTATGTTGTTTCGGCACAGTACGAGCATGACAGAGATAAATCAGCCCATCTACTGTGCATAAGAACATGTTAATATTCTCCACTCTTTGGGAATGGCTAAAGACAACTCCAGTCAGTAGCACGTCTGTCCTGGGGGTGG